CTTCTGAAAACAAGGCTGGTCAGCTACATCTTTTTGTTCTGTTGTGTTTTTTTTCTTTCTTTTTTCTTTCCCCAGCTGAAGAAATTAATGGTTTCAAAGTCACAGCAACTTTAAACTTCTATGGTGTTGTGGTTTCAAACAGTTCTCAACATATATGATGCTGAATAGTATAGACTGAAAAAATAACCCGATTTCAGTAGGCAGACCATAACTGCCAAACTCCCACAAATGCAAAACAGAGAAAAGAATAAACCCACAGTGCTGTTAGGAGTGTAGTATGTCTTGAATGTGTACTAATATTAAAATGCTGAAAGATCATGTTAGCTGAATCAGTATAAACATATTGAAATAACATCTACTGACTATTCTTGAACAGTGGATGCTAGTCTGAAAGAGAGGAATGAAAATACTCAGATGAGAGAGCAGCAAACTGAATTGCATCCATCTCTGCAGAGGTGCACTGCCAGATGAGTCCAAGACAATTAAGAAGCTCTTCACTCCAATAAACTCATTTTTTTTTTGTGTAAGATCTGCTAATCACATGTGTAACAGTAATGGAGATGGAGGTGTATAATCAGACAGAAGATCTGAATACATTCCAATGACCACTAGTTATCAATGGCAGCTGCTTCATATGCTTGTTACAGCAGATTTGTGTTCTTTCTTATATTTTCTGACCTCAAATTGTGGTTATGAAGACCAGGATCTTTTCAATGTTTATTTACAAGCCACACAGCAGGTAGCACAACATTACAAGCTGAAGATATTTTAGCAGACCATATTCTGAAGACAGTTTTCAAAAACAAACAAACAAACAAAAAACCCCCACAAAAATCAACAGGCAACTTGGAACCTCAAGGCTGCTAACTAGCCTGGGTGTCTGAACACCTGAAAGCTGTTACCACATAACACACCAGGGAGGAAGGCCTAGGAACCTTTGCTTCCTTCTCAAATCCTGCTGTGAGAGCACCCTGCAATTTGCCATATTTGCTTATTTCTACCTAATTGAGCTGGTGAACTTATTAGAAATCATATTTATTCCCACATCATTTAGCGTATTTATCTTGAAAATGGGCTGGTTGTTGCTCAGGTAACCTGGAAACACTATTTTTTGTTGTTGTGACAATGAAGCATGCTTATTTCTTAAATCTTGTTTTCTACTGTCTCTTTTCTTTTGTGTCACCAGATAGAGAAATCTAGATAGAAATCTAGAGAAAACTTTGGTGAAGCATCTGTGCTGAAGTCACAAAGACTTTGCAAGAGTACAAAAAGATTCAAAATTCAGCAAAGAAATGTAATATTCTGCTCAAAACCATACAATCCATGCAATTTACAAGAATAAAAATATCAAACAGGATTCCTGATCAGCTTTTATAACGCTATGAGAGAAACATTCTGCATGTACAAGTCTGCTTGATAACAAACTGGAACTGAATACTATGGATCTGGCTCACTCTTTACAGTTCCAGGGCAAAACACATGGGTGCTAAAGGGCTTATTTTACCCAGAAAGCTCCCTCTTTGGTCCAAACATCATCGTACTCATTCCTTACCAGTCATTTTGATATCTTAAAGAACTCAGAAATATTATGTTGCCAGAATCCTCTTTGCTGACATCCTCCATGTTATTCAGAAGACTGAGTAAAGCAATACACTACTTTCTTAGCTGTTTTGAGGATATCTCATAAGGTTCAAAAGGTTATAACCAAGGTTCATAAGGTTCATAAGGTCATAACCAAGATGTTATTACTTGATGACGTACAGAAAAAAAAAACAGTTTAAATTTGTATTCATTTTGATTGAGAAGGCAGCACTGCATAGTCCCAGTAAAGAAAATCATCACCTAATAATTCAGTGTATGAGCATCAAAAGACTGAAGCCTAACCTTGTGATTTCAGAGAATCATAGAATGGTTTGGGTTAGAAGGGACCTTTAAGATCATCTTTCCAACTCCCCTGCTATAGGCAGGGACAGTTCCCTCTAGACCAGATTGCTCAAAGCCCCATCCAGCCTGGTGCTGAATACTTCCAGGGAGGGGACATTCACAACCTCACTGTTCCAGTGTCTCACACCCTCGCAGTGAAGAATTTCTTCTTGATACCTAGCCTCAATCTGCCCTCTTATAGTTTCGAACCATTTCCCCCTGTCCTGCTGCTATATGCTGTTATAAAAAGTCCCTCCCCAGCTTTCCTGTAGGCCCCCTTCAAGTACTGGAAGGCCACTATAAGGTGTCAGAGCCTTCTCTTCTCCAAGCTGAAGAGCCCCAGCTCTCTGTCTGTCCCCATAGGGGAGGTACTCTAGCTCTCTGATTAGTTTCGTAGACCTTCTCTGGATCTGCTCTAACAACTCTATGTATTTTTTGTGTGGGCAGCTCCAGAACTGTATGCAGCACTCCAGTGACGTCTCACAAGAGCAGAAAAGAGGGTCAAAATCACCTCCCTTGACCTGCTGGTCATGCTTCTCTTGATGCAACCCAGAATATGGTTGGCCTTCTGGGCTGCAAGCGCACATCACCAGCTCATGCTGAATCTTTCCTCAACTGACACTTCCAAATCCTTCTCCTCAGGGCTGCTCTCAAGCCATCCTCCGCTCAACTCCTATCTGTGCTTCAGATAGCCCTGATCCACATACAGCAGATCCTGGGGTTTCTTTCATATATGCAATAATACAGAGTTGAAACACTTCCCTATATCTGTTGTATTGACAATCATTCAGAACCATTTGTTAAGAAACACTTTTAAAGTCTCTTTTCTTCTCAGCTGGAACGTTTTAATCCCTCTCTTGTATGGGGTAAGTAATCCTTCAGTCACAAAGTTGTTCTGTTATAATCACCATACCTGTATACAGCTCTCCATGTGATACTTAACATGTCATTCACAATGAATACGATAGCAGTAAACATCTGTTCAGAACTATCTCAAATACTCATTTAATTATAGAAAGACACTTCAAATGATTTGTCTTTTAAAATGGATTATAGACAGAGCAACTGTCTTCACAAACTATTCCCATGCTTTCAGAGATGTCAGTATTCGTATGACACATGGTTTCAGTACTTCTGTATTAAAAGCTTTATCAACTCCAACAAAATACTTCTCAGCAAAAGGTGCTGATCAGAAAAATGCTTCCATATCCACAGATAAGCTTTGTTTAATTTTGATAAACGATGAGCAAATTACTTCAGAAGCTATTAAAATTGTCCCCTCTCCGTTTAAAGTTGTTTTTTTCTTTTTTTGCATATGTGCTTCCTAAAAATGCTTTGAAGAACGCAGGTTCTTCAGCAACCTTTTTGTCTGCCAGATCTAAGGACTGAGCTTACTGAAAGAAACAACTAAAATTTTGCTTGACATTTCAAACTATGTTTGGTGACTTGCCAGCATAGCTGCCCATCACTGAATACCTTTGTGTGAAAGACTTTTCAAGTTTGTTTATGCTGGCAGTTGCAGGGGAAGCCACCTGGCTTAGAAATGAAGATGTCATCTGCTTGCTCTTCTGGGACATGCTTTTTGGCTCCCTGTGGGAAGAATGCTACGTTCATTATTTCAAAATTCCCAACTTCACCTAAGGGATGGTACATTTTCTTTAAAAATTGTAGAATCATAGAATCACCAAGGTTGGAAAAGACCTCCAAGATCATCCAGCCCAACTGTCCACCCATTGCCAATATTTCCCCATATTGTCCCATAGTACAACATCTAAATCTTTGTTGAACTACTTCCCTGTGCAGCCCATTTCAGTGCATTACCACTCGTTCTGAGAAGAAATTTTTCCTCGTACCCAACCTGAACCTCCCGTGGCACAACTTGAGGCCATTCCCTCTAGTCCTCTCACTGGCCCCAGCACTGAAGTCAGGCTGAGAGGCCTGTAGTGCCCTGGATCCTTCTTACTACCCCCCTGCAGATGGGAGTTGCATGCCTTCTGCATGAATGTAGCTGGGAGCTGAAATGTTGTCACCTAGTGAATACATATCTATTACACAGATTAAATGTTAAATAATATAAAAAAACTAATCTAACAATATAATAATACATGGTGATTTACAGACGTTGGGGAAAAGTAAATCCCTTCCAAATTATAGCAATAGGATGTTTGAGATGATTTCATATAGCGTATTTCATACTCTCGAGGGTCTTGTGAGAGCCTCTCTACATGCCCATCACTGGCTACTCAGCAGACGCACAGCAACGAATTGGCTCCTCTAACAACCAGGACTACCATCTTCCCCTACCTTTTTCCTGAGAAAAATGCTTTGAAGGATCAGGGTGACAACTATGGTGCAAGTGTTGAAGAGCTAACTACAACGTTTGTTTTCTTTTCCACCACATAAATAAATACATTTCTTCTCTCATAAATCAGACCTGATCCTTATTCATATTAGATTATTCTATAAGATGGTAGATGGAATCTATAAGATGGAATCTATAAGATTCTATAAGATGCAAGATTCTATAAGATGGTATAAAAACAAACAATATGCTGGGAACTTCTACATTGTTTCTTATCACTGCGTTTGAAGTCTCACAACCAGAATTTTCTTATATTTCTAATATTCTGGTTATACATAATGTGGTATGTAAGTGCCTCCTAGATTTTACAAACATCAATGTCATGGGAAAGGTAAGTGAATTAAATAGGAAGACAGAGCACAGGTCAGTACAACCATACGTATGTGTAAATCCTTCCACAAGAAGTTACTGGAATTAAGTAAGGGAAGAAGCTAGCTAGAGCTTTCAGTTTAACAAGAAGCTTTGACATTAGCAAATATTTGCTGCATGCTAATCTGAGCACCAAGGGGAATTCTAAATTACCAGCCCTTCCTTTCACACCAGCAGCCCTGCTACTACTGAAGTACTTCTGTATAAATTGTCTTTGCAATCTTCTCGTCCTTGCAAGAACAGCCCCTTCATGACCATAGGATGAAAGTTAGAGGGAATTAATCAAATTGTATTTAATCAGTTGAGGCTGAAAAAATATTTTTTAGAATAATGTTAAATGCCTTAATTCAGTTGCTCATTAGTTTTATTTCCAGCAGTCAAGAGTATCACAGAAGTACAGGCATTGGAAGAGATCACAGGAGATTATCCTGTCCGCCCCCCTTGATAAAGCAGGTTCCCTAGAGTCAGTATCTAATTGGCCAAGCAATAATTACACAGCCAGGTTGTAGCCAGGTCCCTGCACTATTTGTACATGATGGCATATCAGGCAAATTCACTGTGCTGTCAAATTTTGGCCTTGATGCAAAACACATGCTACAAATTAGACATAAATCTCTTACAATAAATGGAATTATACTGGTTTTGCAGCAATAACAGTGAGGTAAAATTTGATCCATAGCCCTGGGATTCAGTGGGAGCTGGCTATTTATAATAAACGTTTCTTATAAGATGGAAGAATAAATGCTAAAAATACAATTGGTTATTTTTGCCAACTTTTCAACTTGTCTAGAAATTGGGGTTTTGCCTGCTGCTGTTGATGTGGAATTCCTGGAAATTGCTAGTCTCATCTTAGGAAGGGAAGTTTTGCCATTAATTTTTGTGTAATGAGAGCAGATATCATATTACAGCAACAAACCACAAAAAGCAAAATAACAATGAAACTGAGAACTGTATATTCTCATGTTGTGTGCTACTTTTGTCCTTCCTTAAGTTTGTATAATATTGCTCCGGAGCATTTCACTTAACATCTGACAGATGACTTTGAGGAGTGAATGAGAAAGTTGCATGACATCCTGTGACGATTTGAGGACTCTGTAAAACAAGATAAGTAAAAAGGTACCAAGGTGCCAAGAAGGTTACTAGAGCCAGGAAATAATCAGTTTGATTCCTTCCTTTCCCAGGAAAGGAACAATATATAATGGTAGGTCCTGCAAATTAATAGAAATTATTCTAAAGGGGAAAAAGAAGACAAGGGCAGTCAACAGAAGAGAAGTCTTTGTGTCCTCAGAGAACAGGACCTCCTGGGGAGCAGAAGGTGCCATGTTCTCTGCAGAAACCACAACTGCTAGAATCAGAGAAATCTAAATGGAAAGATGGGGTACACTGGGGATACAGTAGTGCAGCCCATTTACCAGACAGACATTTCATCTCAGTTTGAATATTTCTTCAGCTCTTCAGAGAAAGCCATGGTTGGTTTAGAATATCTCAAGAGTTTGTATGATACAACTTGGCATGTGGCCCTGGAAAGGTAAACCACAGATTGGACCTCAGTGGGGCAAGGGACTCTGAGAGGGGTGGTGCTTATGCTGATGGTCTTACAGACCACAGCTAGTCCTGAAGGCCGTGGCAGGCAAGCTGCGAGTTCCATGAAATGAAAACAGTTTTTGCCTACAAATGAGCTAGAGAAACAGAAAGGATCCAGATTTTAGCTCAGAAGTTAAAGCACAATGTCTACAGTGTCTAAGCACTGCAATGGTCCTCTTCAACCCAGGCCATTCTGCGATTCTATGATTCAATTTGGTGAGAGTGCAAAGATCGTTTAAAGAGGGACCACATAGATTGATGATTTTTCTTCAAACCAACAAACAAGGATGTTCAGTTCTTGCATTCTTGTCTTTCCACACAACAGTCACAATTCCAGTTAAAGACTTTTCTATTTTTACCTTGCAAAAACTGAGACTAAGGAGATCTCTTGATGATTCAGGCAAAGACACCATTTGCTTGGCAGTCCACTCAGCATGAGGAACAGTAACTGCTTTTTTCAGGGATTTTGCTCACTGCACATTTATTGGAAGTGTTGATGTCTACGGTATTCTCTTACTATAATGCATGACAAAAGTCAAATCTAAAACAAAAAGAAACCCAACAAACAAAACCCAACATCCTGCCTTTTTATATATCCTCACAAAAAGCAAATGGTAAAAAAAAAAAAAAAAAAAAAAGATCTGAGTTACAGGGATTGAAAGAGACCTCAGGAGACTGTCTAGTCCAACCCCTTGCTGAAGGGTAGGTTACACAGCAAAGTGTCCAGGCCTGCCTTGACTATTTCCAGAGAAAGAGACTCTACAACTTCTTTGGGCAGCCTGTTCCAGTGCTCTGTCACCCTCAAAGAGAAGGTTTTTTTTCCATATTCATGTGGAACATTTCAGTTTGTGCCCACTGCCCCTTGTTCTGCCACTGGACACCAGTGACAGGAGCCTGGCCTCATCTCATTGACTCCCACCCATTAGATATTTATAAACACTGACAAGGTCCCCTCTCAGTCTTCTCCACATCAGACAGCCCCAGATCACTCAGCCTTTCCTCATTAGCCTGCACCACATCATCTTTGTGACCCTCCACAATGGAACTCTCCTAAGATCCATCTTTCTTGAACTGAGGAGCCCAGAACTGGGCACAGTGCACAGTGCTCCAGATGTAGCCTCATCATGGCAAAGAAGAGGGGGAAGACAGCAGAGGGAGAGCTGGCCATCCTGACTGTCGACTTGGCAAGCAATATCAGACTTTTTTCACATTTAGCTGAATGCGACTATTTATTGCCACCATTATTTTTTATTTGGAAATTCATGTTTAGTTTCTCCTCAGGCACCTGCAGTGTTTGACAGGCACTTACAAGCTTAATCCAGATTAACTGGAAGAGTTTGCTTGTCCAGGAGAACAGGTAATCCTCTGGGCCACCCCCTACTAAAGAGAAACATTTTCTATTAACATTAAAAGCAGCAGAAATTGCTATTACATACCTGCATTTAAAAGTTGACTTTCACCTCCTGTTGTTTTGCAATTATATGAAGAACTTATGAAGGAGTGACAGAGAAAGAAATAGTAATTCCCAGGCTACACTCCATTGCCATTTTTTTCAATTAAGGATGATTTTAAGCAAGCCTAACTTTAGTAAATGGAAATGTATCAGGAACTTTCACATGTTCAGGTTTCCAATTATTCCCTAGCATCATTAAACAGGTAAGAAATCTTCTAGCACCTGATGGAAAACCCTAGGGCATTTTCTCATTAGACACTATTCTGTCTAAAGATAACATTCCATTTTCCTGACCAGTTTTTTTCTTCTTGCACTTAATACAGGCACAGTGTGCTAGAAAGCAGCAGCCTCACTTTTTCTAACATTTTAAACATGCTTCTCTTCCCTTTTATTTACATGCACATAAACTAACTGGAACACTGTAAGAGAGAATGACAGTTTAGCTTTACAAAGAAAAGAGAGACCAGGAAAACATTTCACCTTAAAACAAAAGTGCAACACGTGCACATCAACGAAGCACTGCGCTCACTGAACTCTCTTCTCTCCCCAACCCTCCAACATGAGAAAGTACTGAAGAAATTCAGTGAATTAAACTGAAGTATAAAAAAAAAAAAAAAAAAAAAAAGAGAGAGAAATGAATATATCCCCTTTATGTCTTCTTAAAAGACCTGTATTTGCATTTGGCAAACTGGATATGATGCAATCACTGGCACTAATAATTCATAAGCAATTTCCAGCAGGGGAATCTAACATTAGACACTGCAGAATACTTGAACAGTTCCATTCATACAAGCTGGGTCTCGCCACCTTAAAGTAACAAGATGCAGGATACTGCCACGTTTGCTCCTCATGGAAAGTTATGTATGCGCACATGAACACTGAACACTTTTGATTCTTTCTCCTAAACTCTGAAATTCCCCTGGTTCTGACAACGATTTTTAGCATCTTCCAGGATGTATCCCACTGAACGTCAACGAGCAGTACTGAACTGCTATGAAGAAATGTTTCCCTTAGCTTGACAGATAGAAACTGAAGCGTTGCTGTGAAATGTGCACAGATGGTGAAAGGCTTATATCTTGGAAAAAAGCGAAGTGGTGACAGGAAATGGGAACTTAACTCTTTTAAAAACAGTTGTTGATGGCACATTCAGATAACAAATGAGTGTGCAATGTGTGCAGCAAGACTCTCTCACACACACTTCCTCCCGTTTGAGTTTGCCACCAAAAGACTGTAAACACTACCATTGTTTTACGAACGACTGTGCTTAGTTTGTCCTTTGGTTAGGAATTACTGGCTTTAAATTACGACAACCAGAAGCATTCTGCGGAGACCACCTTCGGTTGGCCCAGAGATAAACTGTATCTTCACAACTCAAATGAAAAACAATTCAACAGTTAAGTACTCCTCTTTTTTCTTCTATGTTAATAGCACAGCAATAGATTGCTGAAAGTGAGAAAAGCAACAACAGTAAAACATTTTCTAATTGCCATCTGTGGCCCTTTTAATTATTTTTTGTCCAGATATTCTGCAGCTAGTGAAAGCAGGTTTCAGTTCCACTTGTATACCTAGACACATTCTCAAGTAGCAATACACATGCCATAAATCTGCAAACACTACAAGAAAAAAAACTCTGCTTTAATGGAAGTAGAAATACTTCTGTTAAATAAACCCTGTCTGCCACAATAATGCGTCCATCAGCATATTAAATGGTAAATAGATGACAGAAAAAAACATTAGTGTTCTTTCTAAGATTTAGACTGTCCCTGGAGAGTGATGCAGAATCAAAGAATAGCTTCCACAGAGCAACTTTCCTGTGTCTTGCTGCCTACAGTGCAGAGCAACGTGGGAGCAGTGACTTCTCCCCCCTGTATCACATGAATCTAAGAGAACATGGCAAATAAAGAAAAGGAAAAACTTGTGAACTTTTTAAATATCTTGTTTTGCTGTTCCTGTCTGACATGTTACATAAGATAGAAGACTGTACTTGAAGGAATTAAATTATTCAAATTAAGGAAAACAATACTTTTTTTTTTTTTTTACTGTTGGTTATATGGTTATTCTTGCTGGCAACTCTTTACATTCAGAAGCAATGAAATGTTCGGCAGGAAAACAATTCTTCACAAACTCTGAATGGAAATGATTGTAAATATCATTAAATGAAGGTGAGACCAGGTTTTTAAAATGGCATTCACTGCACTGCTCTTGTGCTGTTTGTCTTCCAAAGAAGACAGACGCAGCATGACATAAGTGTATATAAATTTATAGGCATCTGAATGTCTAACACAGTTTATCCTGCAAAATTTCTTTCTGTGTCAGCTGGAGATCTGGTGAGACTCCAAAGCATAATGATTAATATGCCGCACAAAAACAAAACTTGAAAAGTCCAAAGAATGGTATCTCTGTGGATATTCTCAATAGTGATGCGCTCAGAAAATTTCACAGCAGCCAAAGAGCTCGGTCTGTGCTATGTTACTGCCTTCCTGTGCCTTCGTTAACTCCATTACAAAAAGTCTGTTTACACTTGGGGCAACACACTGATGAGTCAGACACCAAGACAGCAAATCTAGTGACATATAAATGTGCTGTAAACAACAGATGTAAAACTTTGCACAGATGACTCACATCTAGCAAACAAAATACATACTCTCTGATAGGGATAACAAAAATTGAGGGGGGAAAAAAAACCCATAAAAACCCCAAAGACATTTTAATAGTCCAGCTAAGAAATCTGCTACATAATACTTCAGTTATGTTACTTTTACATTATATAAAAAGATTTGGTGATCTAAAAGCTTGTGGCTGTGCATAGCTTTTCCATTTAAACAAAGTTTTGTGGTATTCTCGAATTTAAAGTGTAATCCTTATTAAATCAAGAATTCTAACCTACTGAAGTGATTGAATTGGGTAAAATAGATCACGTAGCAAGTTCTGCACAAATCACGCTTAGAAGATATTCCTCATAGACTCGTAACAGATTCTGAAAGCTTTTCTTTACTAGAAGGGATGTTTCAGAGTGTACAATTAATGAATATACAGATGTTATGGTACAGCAGAGAGCTCGGCTATGTAGCTATTACACCAAAGCAGGAAACAGAAACGTTAGATACACTCACCTGTATCCTGAGCTCACATGGAAAATCCCAGTGGCGTAGATCTGCAGAAGAGATCCTTCCCCACTGGCAGCCAGCTCTTAGATGGGTCTAGGAGAGGTGGCGCCAGGCTCCACCCCTTCCAGCAGCACAGGTGAATTGCCTTCACCTGTGCTCCCGTGGCTGACTCATGGCTCGCCTCAGGTGATCAATCAGAGGTTCAGGCTCGCCTCAGGTGATCAATCAGTGATTCAGCAGTTCCCATACACATAGGTACCTCTTCTACTTTTGACTGTGCTCATTGATCCCTTGGCATTTGCAATCATAGGGCATCTCCCGCAAACATGGCATAAGCGCTAATTTGGAAGGAAACAAGAAAAGATTTGCTGCTCCTTTAGTTGCCTGAAATACCACTTAACAGATGAAGAAAGCAAGAACACTCTACAGTATCTTGAGATACTAGTGATTCAAAACCACAGTCAGGCACCTAGTAGTTAATGGAATTTCCCATTTTTTTCTGATATTCAACCTAAACTTTTCCTTGTTAAATTTTAGCTCATTGCTATTAATTATACTTTTTTTTTATACTAAGTAAATCGTCTCCTCCCATCTGCTTACATTCTAAACTATTTATAGATCATTGCCAAATTATCCCCAATTTATTCCGTACTATCAAACATTTACAGGATGTTACTTTCACTGCCCCTTTACACGTGATTAACACTGGCCTTTAAAAAAAAATGATTAAAAAAATTGTCTTATCTATTTGCACCTGGACTCCCTGGAAATTTGTGTGGTTATCGTAGCTTGCCTTTATTTGTAAAAATGCACTCAAAATTGGAAAAATTGAAAAAGAAAACAAAAAAAGAGGAATGGAAAGAGCCCCACCAGTTACTTGTGCTTACCACAAGAATAGGGTTGGTACTCCTGCCCCCAGAGCTCTTGCCCACTCCTGGGCACAGGAGGAGCTCCAAGCTGCCCCAGCTCTGTGCTCAGCCTCTGGCACCACCTGTCC